TTCTGGGTCTCTTCTCAGTTGGGCTTTTCAAGTTATAGTGATGTCTGACTGCAGGAGTTGCAGGCCAGTAATCCAATTTAGGAAGGGCTAAGAAAAGTGATTTTGTCAGATGAGGGTTGAAAGTCATAAACCTGACAAACGAGAAGATGTCTGAAAAGATTCTGAAGTGCACAGCTCTACATTCACGATATTGAAATTATAGCTTCTGGAGAACCTTAACGTTATGTAAGAGGTTGCCACAGCTTAACATTACGTCAGACTATTTTATTCAGTTAAGCCATCCTTCTTTAAAACCGACAGGATGATGCAATTTAATTTCTTTGTGGACTTGTGCTACGGAACAATAGGAAGCCACCAGAGGAGTCACTTGATGACATAGAATGAAGTCTTACTAGCAAATCCCTAGCCTGAGGAGTAACCTACAGAAGAAATAACTGTGTAGCAAACACACAGGCCATAAAAAACATAGGGCAAACAAAGCAATGGCAGGAGTCTTTATAAGGATGCTGAACTAGACTACAAAAATGATTTCTGAGCAAGAAAACTGCTTTTGGTTACTTGTTTGTGTGGCACTCAGGGAAAAGGTCTTCAAGAATATTCTTATAAATAAGCATCACTGTACTATCAGCCAGTTGTCTTTCAAAGAAAACAACTTGGTTCTCCATATGATTGCCTGAGTAGGCCAAAGGACAACACCGTTATTTCTGTCACTGACAGAGGTGTGTTACTTATGTCACTATATTGCTAAGACCAGCCCTGATGTGAGCAGGCAGTTATGTCATATGATCTGCTGGCTCATAAAAATGACGTCTGTAGGCACTATGAGCAGCAAGGCATACTTACAGATGTCCAAAATCCAAGTCAAGCCAATCGTTTGGCCTAACAATTTCAGATTTTAGTATTTTTAAAGTTTTAATTTGAGAAAGACTCTTTCAGATACCAAAAGAGAATCAAAACAGGAAAATCCTCTAGTACCTCCAGTAGCAAAAATCTATCTGGCAGCTAATAACTCTTCAGTATATGTATGTTTGCATTGTGAGAAGCTAGATCAGCATGTCTTTAATTTCTCTTTGTTCAAATCGTCCTCCTGCAGCCCTGCAAGCACATTTCTCAGCTGTGATATGTTCAGAATGCAGCTCACAGAGAACATCTTGCATGCATTTCAGAGTGATGGGTCATTCCCTTCTACCAAGCATTTGTGCATTTCAACAGCTCGCTCCTTGAATCACAGCACAGAGGAGAGTGGAAAGGAAAGAAAGGAAACACTTCACAGGAAGAAATGCTGAACAGAGATTGATAAAAATAACCATAAAAATATGTGGCAATTTGGACATTAGAATAAAGCTAAGATACTTGTTCTCAACAGCACAAGGACAACATGGGTGACTGTCATGGCAGTGTCTAACAAGAGATCTACAATTACACGTGGGGAGAATTCCCAAGGACACCAGAGAGCAAACAGAGTACCTATAATTCTATTCTATAAAATACAGTTCAATCTCATTTTCTTGTTGTTGTTTTTTTTTCTTTTTTTTCATGAAGTGGCTACGCAAAACTTAAATTTCATTGAAATTAAGAATGGTTTTATAAAGTCAGTTTTATAAGTAAGCATATCTCCCATTTGCAAAGGACATGATATTACTTTTCAGTAACCAAATCAACTATTTCTAGCGTAACCCATGCATTATTTAAATTATCAGTAGAATGAATGCCAATTTAGCAGTTGGTACAAGTAGAAATGTCAGAGAATCTGAAGGTGAATCAAGCTTAAATGTTAGCTCACATCCAAGAACATTAACATGGCAATCTGTAAAGCTCATAAAAGACGATGGGAGAAGACACTATTGCAAATCTGATTCAGAACTGCATAGCTTATAAATATATGCCTGGGTTGCTATGGTAGTTTTAGTTTTGGTTTTGGTGACTCAGGATTATGCAGTATTAAATGTAACCCACCTTGACATTTCTGTGTAAGAACATTGCTCTGAACTGAAAAAAAAAAAAAAAAAAAAACAGAAAAAAAAACAGAGTAAGAATTTTTCTTCTTACATAATTTACATTAAAATTTTGATAGTACTTTGTGCATGGTCTTCCCATCTCTTTTTTTCTGGATAAGGAATGTGCTGAAGATTTCACTGTTTCTTGTGTGGGTTTGCCACACAATTAGAGAAGAGAATGCAACATATTTAAAAATAGAAATGAATATGACTGTCAAATTTTAAATATGAAAGAAATGCCTTTTTCTTATGATAAGTATCTCCATTATGCTTCATGTTGAAAAAGGTTTTTATATTTTTGTATCCCATTTCTCCTTTTAAACTCTATGATTCTTTATAGAAACCACGGAGAATAGAGAGTTTTATCACAGAATCACAGGGTTGGAAGGGACCTTAAGGATCATGAATCTCCAATCCCCCTGCCATAGGCAGGGCGGCCAACCTCCCTGTTTAATACTAGACCAGGCTGCCCAGGGCCCCATCCAATCCAGCCTTGAACACCTCCAGGGACGGGGCATCCACAACCTGGGCAGCTGTTCCAGAACCTTTTTTTTGTCAATATATAAGTATTTGCCACTACTTCTTCAAAATATCCATTTTTCCCAGAGCTGGAATTGATGAAACTAACCTTGATATATTGGTTTTCTTCACCGGAAAGTAAAAAACATTAGGACAAAATTTTTAGAAGCAACAACGTGTCGGATTTCTGTTGCTGATGACAAGATGGAAGACAAGACAACAATTATCCTTAAGAGATCGAAACAGAAATCCTATGTTCCAGAACATGTCTATTTTGAGTAAACTTCATTGATATACTTCTGTGGTACAGAAACTTGCATGAATTAGCTTGCAACAATGACTGCAATGCTTGTAAGAAAAATAAAATAAATGCCTAATTGTTGGGAGTCATGTGGATGGGGCCAGGCTCTTTGCAGGGTTGCAAGATGAGAGCACAAAGGCTCCCAAACTGGAACACAGGGAGTTCCATACAAAATGAGGAAAACTTCTTGACTGTGAGGGTGACAGAGCAATGGAACAAGCTGCCCAGACAGGTTGTGGAGTCTCCTTCTCTGGAGATATTCAAAACTCACCTGGATCCTTTCCTGTGTAACCAACTTGTTATTGTTTGAGGAATGAAGGAGGTTCAATGATCAAATAAAAAAAGCTGAGCTAGAGGAATGAAGTCAAGGAGAGGTGACTGGAGACTTTATGGAAACCTAAAATAAGTGCTCCATACCAATGAAATTCCTCAGAGGGCATTTCAAACAAGTACCTATCAACTTGCCTAGAATTACTTTACTGCCAGTACAGCACTTGATTTCAATCTTGCTGAAATCACTGTATTGCATTCTGTAGGTATGCCGGTTCTTTGAAGAGTTAAATTTTCAGACAACCAATTGAGAGGGAAAGAAAGAAGTAGACTATTGGGGAGGGTATATTTAAAATACTGGAGACATCTGGGGACAGAGGATGTTCTTTCCTGAGTTACTTTGCTCTGGGAAAGCAGCAAAATTTGCAAACGTCATTGGATTGAGAGTCCATCCCCAAGGAAATGTACTGAAGAGGACAAGACTGAAGTATGCAGCTGGATCCTGCACAGATCCTCACCTTAGATGTGAGTCAGTAGATGCAGCCAAGCTGTAGGCTGGTAAATGTGTGTATTGGGCACAGTTCAATTAACCGTGTGAGTAATAAATGCTACGATGACCACTTCTGAAGTGGATTGAGCACAATCAGCCATACTTCAGATCCATGAACCTAAGCTATATCACTGAGTAGACACATAGGTCATCAATAGGAAAGTATTAATTAGATCCTGGCTTTTTGTTGACATATTTGGACAGCAAACCTCTCTTTGGCAAATCTTTCATCTTTCCTACTAGATGCCATCTTTCAAATACTGGCAATTGACATCTGCACATTTTCAGTGGGCTGTGTGTCATGCACTGCTGTGTGAGTACATCTGAAGGGTGCTATGCAAATAGTTCCAGGTGAAAACCTGCTCTGAAGGGTGTTAGTGAGAACACACTGCCGCAACCTTCTGACCGCCGCTTCTTGGGAAATGCCGCCAACATTTTTAATGATTGAAATAAGAAGCCTGAGCAGGCTGACAGACTGCAGCAAAAGGAGAGATTATAGGAAAGAACAAACCACACAAAATTTGATGAGTGTGAGGTTTGGTGACCCTCTCAAACTATACTTTGTTTCCTATAATTAGTTGAAATGAGAACTTCTTTTCCAGTAAGCTTAAAGCCATGTTTTACCCCCACAGAGTATTCAATATAGAAGAAAATATATGTTGTTTATAGCTAAAGAAAACACACTATGCACAGGGAAAGAAATTAACTGCCCGTAACAGCTTGGTTCCTAGAAGGAGCAATTCTGAGCACAATGTTTGTGTCTTCAAAGGCTGCGTGCGCTATAATTCCTTCTCTCCCAACTGAAACAGGGTGCACTGCTCCAGCTTTACAGGCAATAAAAATTAAACATAACAGAAACCAGCACAGCAGCACCGGGTTCTGCAGACACCTCAGGGCACGCTGCTCTGACGCCAGGCTGCCCAAACGCGGGCACGCTTAACTTTCCCAAGCAGGGCATCCTCAGCAGCCCCGCGCGTCTTCTTCTCAGAGCGGCTGCAGTCGCTCTGCTAACAGAGGCGCAAGCGAAGGAAGACGCGAGCAGGGAAGCGGTACGCCTGTAGCCTCGCTTTGCTTCCCGAGGTCCGCACCGGCCGCCCTGACAGAACCGCTGACCCCTCCGGCTGAACTCTTGAACCCGCGGCCCGCGCAAAGGCCAACCGCGCCTCCGCACCGCCTCGGCCCGGCCCCAGCCCGGCCCCGCCACCGCCCCCGTCCGCCCGTGACGTCACGAGCCAACGGCCACACCTCGCCCACCCCGCGCCCGCGCCCTCCTCCCTGGGACTCCGCCCCGCCCCGCCCGGAAGTCTCGCGGGATTATGCTAAGAAGCCGCCACAGCCGCCCCGCCCCTCGGCTCCCTCCCGCCCTGCGCGTCCATCTGGGTGGGTGCGTGAGCGAGGGCGAGCGCGGGCCGCGGTGCGCTGTGGGATACGGCGGTATATAGTCTATCCTCGGCGCGGCGATAGCGAGGGGGTCAGGCGGGAGCGGGGCATGAAGATGGCGGACGCCAAGCAGAAGCGGAACGAGCAGCTGAAGCGCTGGATCGGCTCTGAGACCGACCTGGAGCCGCCCGTGGTCAAGCGCAAAAAGACCAAGGTGAAGTTCGACGACGGCGCCGTCTTCCTGGCTGCCTGCTCCAGCGGGGACACGGAGGAGGTGCTGCGGCTGCTGGAGCGCGGCGCAGACATCAACTACGCCAATGTGGACGGGCTCACCGCGCTCCACCAGGTCGGTGCGGCCGGGCGGGCAGGGCGGGGGGCGAGGCCTGCGGGGCGTCCCTGCGGGAAGCGACCGCGGGGGAAAGGGCCGGCGGCGGCGGCGGCTCTCCCCTCCACTGGGGGGTGTTGGGGCGGGGAGGGGCCGCGGGGCGGGAGGTGGCGGGGAGCGGGGTCGGGCTCGGGGGCGGCGGGGGAGTGGCCGTGCGGCGGGGCCTCCGCTCTGGAGCCTCCGGGCCGGCTCGGGAGGGTGAGGGGCCGGTTCCCCTCCTCGTTGCAGGGCCCTCCTGGAGTTACCCCCGCCTGGGTCGGGGTGCGGGCCCCGCCCGAGCCCCCCGGGAGCTCCCGGGGCAGGGCCGCAGGTGAGGGGAGGCGCTCGGCGGGGTCGCTTCCCGCTGCCGCCGCTCCCCGCGGCGGTTTCCGGCTTCCTCCGTCCGTCCGGAGGTTCGGCTGCGCTCGGGCCGATGAAAGCCTCCTCTTCCGTGCGCGGGGAGAGCCGGGCCGTCCTCCGCCAGCCCGTTTCCGAGGGGAAACTCGCGATTTGTGCCTAATAGAGAAACGCGTGTCGATAACAGCCCGCTTCTCTCCCGAGCGATGGCTTCTGCCGCAGTGCGCGAGCTGAAGTTGAAGGGGAGCGGGGCTTTTACAGCCTTCCTCCGCGTGTCGGAGAGCAGCGCGACGAAGCCGAGTGGCTTTGTTCGGGCGTGGGTGTGTGGCCGGGGCTGCTGCCGCCCAGGGGAGCTTCACTCGGGGCAGGGGAACGGCGGGGAGACGGGCTGTGAAAGTTTCCTCAAAATGGATGCTTTGTGCACGCTGAACTTCATAGCAGTCTGATTGGAATCTCAAAACGTTAGCCAAATAAGGAAAGGCTGTGGCAATCCGGAGATAATGCGGGTTTGCCTGAATAGTTCTTCTTTTTCTAGGAGGCCAAAAGCTTCCCCACAGTATTAAATTCCCTGGATAGCTAAAAAGTAGAAATATATAGATTATACGTATGTATCTTTGACGGGCCAGGTTATCGTTCTGAAGTTTTGAACTTGTTTGCTAGTTCAGGAGGAAGAAAAAGATTGAGATTTGGGTTGACCATGTTGCAGTCTTCCCAAAATGGTCAAGTGAGGTAACTGGGACACTGTTATATTGCACCGTACTTAAACAAAAATGAGGTGGTGAACTCAATGGGTGTTATCCTACCCGTATAGACATCCGGGGATGTGAATTTCTACAAATATAAGTTGCTCCTTAGCAATAAAGAATAGAATCCAATTCTGAATATAAGATACAAAATCTCACTGCTTTTTGCTCTGTTTCCTGTGTATGTCATCGCTTGTTTGGCAGCGTAAGGTTTGCTTTCAGTTGTGAACTCAACTGGAAGAATGACTGCGTTGTGGTTAAGGCTGTCAGAGTGTTACTGCAGCAAGCTTGCCTGACTTGAGGCTACCCTGTTGCTCACAAGCCTGGTTTTGTGCATTTACTCTTCTCTAATCAGGTTATGATTGCTTTGTGCTAGAAGGGAACTCAGTATTAGAAGTCATTCCTTAACTGGTTAGATCGTTGGATCTGCAAATCTCCGACTGCGCACCAGCGATTGGTGGGCAGGGATGATGTCTGACTCGACTCCCTGAGAATGAGAGGTGAATGATGATGTTTTTCTCCATGAAGTGTAAATAGCATTTTTCAAAGTGATTTTGATGTTATGTACAGCGAAGCCCACATCAGAATTACTCTTGTTATTCTGCCTATCTTTTTACCTGTAGATAGTTTGCGGTTTGAAAGGGCAAAGTCTAGTAGAATAAAGATTTACACTGCTAAAACTCTGCTTGCTCTCCTGCACTCTCTTGTAGTGATAACAGAGAGCTTTTTCTGGTCTTACAATATTAAAAGCAAATAAGAAGATCAGTTGCGAGATGCTAATCCTCTTGAGGCAGCCGAGGCATCTTATGGTTTGTGTGCTTTTCTTTGTTGCGGTTTTTGCTGTTCTTGTTTTTGTTTGTTTTGTTTTCTTTCTTTTTTTTTTCTTTTTTTTTTTAAGACAACGAGGGAGGATAGCAAAATAACAAACCTCTTCCCATGACTGCTTTGTTACTTCATTACCATCAGGATTTTTAATATGTCATATGAAAGGTGCACATCCTGCAGTATGCTGTCTGTAATACGGTTTCATTTAATCCGATTTGGTTATGGAATAAAACAAAGCTGTATCTGTTCCCAAAGGATACTCTTCAAAAACTGGTCACTTGTCCTGACAGCTCTGACTAACATCAATAGCGTTGAAGTCCATTTTGTTGAAAACTACTGTCCTTGCTGTTGCGTTGCTGCTTGTTGTTGTTGTCAGTTTCCTTGTACACTGTATTGCTTTACAGGAATGAATTTGTTAGCGGGGGACAGAGTGACCCTACCTTCTTTGGGTAGGGCTTAATTTTGCATTTAATATTTTTTTTGCAGTTATTGAGGGCAAATTCATAGAATTACGGAATGGCTTAGGTTGGAAGGGACCTTAAAGATCATCTAGCTCCGGTGCTCACATTCTGTGTCTGAATGTTTAATTCTGTTGCCGCTCAGCTTTGTTTTTCCTGTAACTTCTGTATATATCTGGAAAGGGTTTAAACTGTGTCTTTTTGTTGTCTCCGCAGCCTGAGTGGTTGGAGGTGTTGAAGGAAGAAGTACGGTATTAATACCGAAATTCAGATCTGATCCTTATTGGAGCATCACGTTTTGTTACTAGAGCAATTAGCTGGACTTCTCCCATTTCAGTGGGGTAGAATATCAGAAAGCTTTATGTAGGTCTGTTTCCGTTAATGTGTACAGGGGGAAGAAATTCCTGTTGGCTTGGTAGCTTGTGAGGAATGGGAAAAGCACGTGCAGGTTCTTCTTTCATCTCTTGTCAGTGCCACTGTGTAATCTTGTATGCTTTGCTGTGCAGAGACAAATGGACTTAGTGCGTTACGTTTGAGGGCGTATATTGAGTTCTAAAAAAATAAATCTGGCAGAACTGAGGAACAAACTTGTTATTAGATGACATTTCTGTATGTCGTGTTGGATTCAGGTGTAATTCTCTTCCTTCAAGAACTTTTTTAGCATACGTTCAGGTTAGACATTCAGCATTAAGGATGAATCTGGGTACGTAACTTATCCATTTATAGGAGAAAGTATATAATGTAGGATATTGCAGGAAGGTATGCATTCTATTACAATATCTTGCATACAAACATGTATATAACGTGTCTGGAAGACCAGAAAACCTATCTGTAAATTTAAGTTTGAAATTCGCATTGGAAGTCTGTTCAATAAACTTGGTTTTTAAGTTGATAATGTTCATAATACTGTGTTTCTTGGCAGTTGTCACACAGGGTGAGGTCCAACATACAGATAGTGCAGCCTTTCTTATCTGCTAGAACTGGAGAAAAACGGCCTGAAGGTGAGCTGTGATCTCACAAATTAATGGTTTCTGCAGAGAAGGAAAATGTGGCATATTCTGAAATAAGAAGAGGTTGTATGGTTTTTAATAAAACCTAGTCTCTTCTAGAGCATACATACGTATTTATTAAGAATGGGATTCAATTCTGTCCTCTTAAAGGCTCAGCACCTGTCTTTCCTCAAAGCGTTTGGATTCTCTCCCGTTCTCATTTCTTGCCCTCTGTGAAAGAGGACTTATTTGCTCATACTGCTGAAGTGCGTGAAAGCAGTTTAGACAGAAATTGCACAGAACTTGTTCAGGAAGGAGGAGCACGGCCTTTCTGAGCAGCAGCACGAGAGGTCTGCGTGTACTGGGGAGGGTCTGATATGTGAGTGGGTTCCTGGATTTCATGCATGTGCCTCTCCCCTGGGAGCGTGGGTGTGTGCTGTGGAGTACCTGCCTGCTCCTGAGAAAGAAGGCAGCTGCACTTAGGTATGTGTGTATGAAAACTTAGGCAGCTTGCTTTTTGGCTACCCTCTTCCTTTGTGGCAGTTCAGATTTAGTAGGCGATAGCTTGGTTTTTGGACTCTGGCGAGGAAGATGACTACTACAATCTCATCCCATCATGAGGCATGGAAGATGTCTTGCTGTGCTGCTGCTCTTCCCTGCCTGGGAGGGTGCTGTGCTTGGAAGAGTGGTGTTGTCCTGACTGTGCACAGGGATTGCTGAGCATGCCAGGTACTGTCAGTGGTGAAGGCTGAACAAGAAGACTGCCTAACCCGTAATGGAGAATTTGTCCTCAGTGTGAAGGAGCACACAAGCAATTGAGCAGTTTCCCAAAGGCTATTCCTTCTTTCTGTTGTGAATATCGGTGTTTTCCTGCAACTCTCCAAATAATAAATGAACACATGAAATTGACTGTTTGGTCCACTTTATAACAGTTTACAGATATGCAGTATGCAATGCTAAATATAGTTTTTTAGTTGATGCTGTTGATAATGGTGGTCTGCATTTGTTCATCAGTTCTAAGATGCTGAGAAACAATTTACAAGTGTTTCATGGAATGCTCATTCTTAGTAACCAGTGAAGGACAATTTCTGTTGTCTGTCAGTCCCGTGCTTGGGTTTTACTTCTTGGGTTCTTCTTCCATGAGGGGAGCTTCTTCAGTAGTTTAAATGAAAAATTCTGTCAGGGCTCCTGGTGGTATGGTTGTAGTTACCTGAGTATGGTAATAGGGTACAGTTACAGTAGGCATCAACTATCGCCTTTGTTATGATCACTTTTCCAACAGGAGGTGGAAAAGGATTGTAACTTTGATCTGCTCTGGATCCCATTGCCTTAGGACTAGATAGAGGGCATTAAGACTGTACTTTTTGACAAGTGATAACACAGGTCATATATTTGTGCTGAGGTCACAGCACGCAGGGCATGTCAAATCATAAGAGCAAAGAACAGGTTGCTACCATCTTAAATCTCCAGGGTGTTTGCATCTTAGCAGCAGCACCCAAGAACCAAGGATAAGGAAGGCATGGAAATAGTTCAAAGCTATCTTGGTAACTTCCTAGCTATGACTTCTGCACTGCTTCTTTTGGGGGGAGGGGGTAGAAACATTACTGCAT